CATTAGCGCAAGAGGATTTCCAGGACCTGTCACTGAGTGCATCACAGACAGGCACTGACCTTTCCCAATTGTCAGGATGACCCACAATAGCTACCAGGCCAGTGTCACAAGAACTAAGAAAACACCATCAGCTAAGCACTTTCTAACCATTTTCAAGAAGTTCATTCTCAAGGAAAGATAAGGTGACATTTGAGAAAATCTATCTCTACATAGGGAAGCTAAGGAAGCTTTTAGAAGAGGTGGCATTTGAGTTGGACCTTAAAGGATGGGTAAAGTCTGCAATATAAATAAGTGAAAGTCTATTTTGGGCAGAAAAAAAGTAAATGGCAGTCCTGTTAGATTAATCATTAAATACACAGGAAGAGGAAGCCGTGGAGGTGAGACCAAAGGAAAAAATTACATTGGATATACATTCTTGGGGGAACTGGCCCTTCCAGGGTCAGCTTAAAGAAAGTACCTTAAGGTGATTTCAAAGTTATCATCAAAAAACATATTTCCCTTAAAATTCCTCTAACAGGAGTAATGCATTCAATAGATATAATAGGATTAAATAGCAACTGATACCAAGCATATTAAAGCATAACTATCTATTATTCAATCAATCTACATGTAAAAGTGACGGGCATCTGATTTCGCCTTTTTAATGAGAATAAACACATTAGATACCAAAAGCAAGATAAATAGGTCCCACTACATAGAGAAATAAGAATGAAAAAGGAAAAAGGAAAACCTTAAAGTTTACGGGATATAAAACCTTACATAATATAAAGTTGGTTGTGTTTAACTTAATCAGGTGAAAAGAGGTTTACACAAAGAACTGGGGTGCATAATTTAGAAAAGAAAGAGTTTGTTGCAACAAAACTACTATTGAAGCAAGGTGCTTTATAGCAGATTTCTACCTCATTTAAAGCAAATCTAATAGCAATACTAATCACTAGCACAAGATTAGCATAATTACTACAGCAAATCTATTTAGTCTTTATTAAAAACTATTTAGGTAGAGTGTTTTTGTTTTAAAGAAAAGCATATTGAAATGAACGAGGTAGAGTCAATTAACCAACTATTATAATAATATCAATTCTTAAGAAGCAGGGGTATGGCTAGTTCATTCTAAGCACTCGTGGCTTGGACATGCCTTCACAGGAACAGGCTGTACCTATAGACTCCAACCCTCAATTCTAGCCACTATCTTGTCCCTAGCTACTAGGCCAGTGCCTGACACAGAAGGGCCTCAACTAGAGTCAATCAATAACAAATAGAACATAACCAGTGTTATAAAACCAAAGACCTTGCTTATACTTTAATTCATGAATGCTACTTGTGCTTTTTTTTAAATTTGTAAGACCCACCTGATATGTCAAATATTTTGACTTCAGTTTCAATGAAAATAAGTAAGCTGCCCACACCCTGCTGTGATCTTAAGGATGACAGTAAAAGAATCTGATCATCTAACCATAATCTAATTAACACGTTTTGTGGATCATGTGGAAAAAATGAGGAAAGGCTGTGAATGCATGCTAACAATGAGGACATGTGTAAACCTGAAATCCTAGAAACCTCATCACAGTCACACAATATAACCTCATTTCAGTATGCCTGGTAGGTCTGTTTTTCGTAATGTTTTGTAGCATAGAGATTTCTACTAATAACTTTGAGAACACTGTTAGCACCATGACCCCAATAGCGAATAACTAACCTACAACAAATATGCAGAGCCCTTCTAGCACACATATCCCTACTTTGGACTTATCACATGTTCACATATTTCAGGAAGAGAAAGACACTTCCTGGAATGAGAAGGCCTGACAAAAAATTTTTTAAAAACATGTTAGTAAATCTAAGACCAACAGCAATGCACAAATAGCAATAACGTCTGATATTACAGAAAAGTTAGATATTAACTCTACTTCTATCATTCCTATCTTTCTATTTACCTACCTACCTACCTAAGTGCTTATTTTATCATCAAACTGAATGCACAAAATGCTGGAACAGGTAGCAATATACTCCAAGACTTTTAACCAAGAAAATCGCCAAACTTCATGATGTATAAAAAAGAAACCATATTAAAACCTCCATAATTTTAATCTCCCTTAAACTCCCTCCTTAGGTATTTAAGCTACATTTCGTAACTTCTATTGTTAGAGTAGGTAGATAGGCAGACATGAGCATGGCAGGAGAGGGCCCCTCCCTAGGAATGTCAGGCTGCCATAGGTGATGTTCAGGCAGTTGTTAAGCTGTTTCTCTAAAATAATTGGTGGCAGCCAGCACCAGGGAAAGGCAATCTCCCAACAGATAGAAAACACCTGGAGCTGGTGATCAGCAGCTTCCTTATAAGGTCTCTGGAGTTGGGCGAGAGGGCTCAGCATGCACACTAACAGGCAAAATGGTGGAGTCTAACTGGTATGTACCTTCCTCTAGGAATCCTTAACTGGTAAGGGAAAAATGGCTCAAATGAGCATGCACACAACTTTAGTACACACACTGAGCATGTGGCCCCTCCCAAGTGCTGGCAGGCCACTGGGTACTGTGCATACAGAGAGCCCGCCCTAAAAGAAGAATCAGGGGAGAAGAAACACAAACCCCCAAACTATGGCAATGCATAAAACCCCAAGTCAAGGTCCAAACAGGGCACCTGGATCTCTCCAGTCGCCTACTTGGCCCTCTTCCAGGTGTAGTTTGCTTCCTTTCACTCCTGCTCTAAAACTTTTTAATAAACTCTTACCCTAGCTCTAAAACTTGCCTCAGTCTCTCCCTCTACCTTAAACCTACTTCTGCCCCTCAGCTGAATTCTTTCCCTGAGCAGGCAAGGATCAAATTGCTGCAGACCCATACAGATTCACCACTGGTAAAAGTATCACCTAACCATTGCAAGAAGAAACTTTAAGATAAACTTTCAACATAGACTTTCTCTTGAAATGAATCTCAGGAAATACCTACTTAACAGAAGTCCTTAGCATAAAGTCAAATGGCCAGTTTTATGCAGGAATCTTACATGCTATACAATGCTCTTCAGATTTCTCTGCATTTTGAAGCCTCAACCATTTTAACAGCCCAGTCTTCATCCCTTGATTTCAGCTCTTCACAAATCTTTGTATCATAGAACAGAAGTTACAGAAAATGTTGAGTACATGGGTTAAAAGGTAATGAATGGGGACAGCATCCTCAAGCCACTTCATACTTGCTAATACCCCAACCCATTTGGGGTATTAGCAAATGGAGAACTCTGTTCTCCTCTCCCAAACTCTCAATGCTGCCCTAAACATTTTCCTAAGCCTTTCCTATGTTAAGATTAACAACTCAAGCTCTAAAAGCACAGCTTCTGTTAAAACAATCACAGAAAACCTATTCTTTAGTATTTATCAATAGGCCTGCTTAGAATAGTTAAAGGCTCCAGAACACCACGAATTATCCTAGTATATATGTGAAAGAACTTAACATCTCGATAACCTAAAAGACAAGTTCTTTTTGAAATGAGAATAAACTAGCTATTTGAATATACATGATACTTCAGATACCTTTAGTTTTTTTCATGTACAGATTGACCCTTATGGAAAAACGAATAAAATGAGGAACTTTGGTCAGCTCAAAAATCTACATCATTCACACTATGTGCAAAATTAAGACCCTCAACTCCCCCAGATGTAAGAGACTTCTTTAGATGTAGCTTTGAATATTCAAGGTCTCCAATGGTTTGGATCAATGGTTATTTTGTCTATTTCTAATATTTACAATAAAATGGTCACTCACACTCTCCCCAAACAATATAAAATCTGATACAATAAATTCAAATAGAAAGGATGTATCTAAACAGTTTGTTTAGTATTTTCTAGCAATATAAGCCATACTAAACTCATTCTTTCATTTATTGTCATTAATAGCAATTATCTGACAGATACCGCACTGGGCACCAGAGACAGTGACAAAAGACATTATAGTCATTCAAATAACTACCTAATTATTAGTAGAGTGCTAAGAAAAAAAAGTTAGTGGTTAAATAATTTTTATGGTTTGAGAGAACTGTTAGTACAATTATATTGTGAAATTTTAAGTTGACTAACTTAAACACAGCTCAATTTAGAATACCAAGTTTTCACTGTAATCAGATTAGACAAAAAAAGTTCTTTATACAAAATCACCTGTGATGATTTATTCCCTCTAATATCACAACTATCTCAACTACAGATGTGAGCTTATTCACATATGAGGTTTGCACTCTAAGAAACATAAACATAAACATAATGTCAAGAATACTAAAGAATCCTGTGACAATAAGAGAGAAACAGGAATAACAAAAATATGCATCAGTGCTTCAAGAATCAAGTTCTTCTGCCTATCTACTTTGGCCTAAAACTTCTACTGACAGCTCAACAAAAATGTTCCTTTGAAGGGTAAAAAAAACTCAAGATTTCATCGAAGAAGAGCAGAGATTCAAAATAGCAAATGATGTTGAACATTATTTTCCAAACTAGAGGTAATTCTATAAAAGTTGAAGAGTAATGAAAATAGTTAATAAAGCCTGTTTCTTACACAGAACCTTCCAATAGTATTAATTCTGTGACACTATCCCATTTTTACACATATTTTTCAGCACCCAAAGAGATTCTTACATAGTAGCATCATTTTCTTTTTTGATTTTGCAAATCTGATCACCTGGCAGATATCTTATCATTGGATGCTGCAACAAATGAGGCATGTGGATGCTTTTTTGCTGTCACTGGTGCCAAAAATAATTTACACTTGAACAAATACTTGTTGAGGATTCAGGTTTAATACCCATACTGTAGTTCTGAAATACGGTAGAGTACTCTGTCGTTGGGGGTCCACGCTTTGGAAATCACATTTACACAGTTTAACAGGGAAGCAATAATAATTTATCCTAATAATTAATAATTGAATCACCTTATTATGAATTCCACTGTTTAGTCAGGTTTCAGGATTTTCAGTCAGTCCCAAATAAAGTAAGAAAGCAAAGAAATAGAAACGTCAATTAAGATTACCTTTGTTCCAAAGATGACGAAAATAGTTGTCCAAAGGCTGATTAAGAATTACAAGGCAGTACTTCAAAGTCCCTAGGAAAAAAAAAAGGAAAATAAAATAAATAAGTGAACTGAGTCTTTTGTTCCCCTTATATAAGTCTAAAATCATACCCTACTGGCCTAAATTTTCAGTGTACACGGAGCTAAAGCCCAATCACAATGAATTTCCTGTAACTTAACTTTAAAAGGCATCATATATGAACGAGTCCTACTTTACTGAATACATCTGTCACATTAGCATACTGTTGAACAATGTATCATAGAAACGACTCTGTAACTTTTTGTCGTGGGAGAGGAGCACAAATGTTCTTGATATGAATTCTCACCCTTCCAGTATATCCACTACTTTGACACAACTATCCTTCTATCTGGCCGGTTTTATGTCATCCCGACCTTATTTACCAAATGGTATGGGTCTAGGAGGTATGTAGTTTCACATTCATTCATATTCTTTTCTCTCTTTCCTTCCACCCTTACCCTATCTTTAACTATCCAAAGCAAAACCCTGTGTGCTTTCACAGATCCTACTAGGTCTTCTCATGGTTTTCTTATTCCAGGCTTTTACATGATACTCCAAAGACAAAGATGAAGAAAAGTTACTTTTCAGACAATCATTCCATATCTTTTATAATGTACCTAAAATAGTGCAAAGCCAAGTGCAATCAGGTATTGAAAATCTGTCATTCAGTTCAGTCCAAGCACCCTCCATTTTATTCATGAAAAATAAAATGTTTAAGAAAAATTGGTTTTTTAAGCAATTTCACTATTAGAAATGGAACATAATTAAATAAGAAGGGTGTGTCATCATCCATAGCAAATATTATTAAGTGCCAATTATATACCAGGCACTGGGAGTATAAAGAGGGACAAGATTACAAGCTATCTGTGAGATGAGCACTTACAATAAAGATGATTTATTCAAAATACAATATAACAGAAGCACAGGAGGAGTGCCGGATAAACAGATAAATGAGTATGGCAGGAGTTGAAAGTCCAGAAAATCAATAAAGTCTGGTGTCATCCAGATTTTTGTCAAATGTAGATTTTTGAACTTGAACTTACAAAGAGAAAAAAGGTGCAAAGAATAAAGGAAGGGGCTTTCTAGACAAGCAAAACAGCCCACCAGAAGCTGCTCTCCTTATCCATTAGGGTTACTCCAATGAATAGTTTCAGAAGCAATGCCCTAGTAATGTGATGGTAGAACATTAATACTAACATCAGTAACTGTAAACATAATGTTTAAGATAACGCAACTTAAATTCCTCTACAAAATGCATGATGCAGTAATGAGTAGTGAACACAATTTATATAATTTGGGAATCCATACAGAGATAATAGCTGAAGGTAAAAGAGCAGGCAAGCCACTGGGATATTGCACAAAGCTGGGAAGGGCAAAGAGAGAGAAGAATTAAGATGAAGGCAAAGACACTGTGTTTTCCTCACTGTTAACAGAGCTGAAGGAGGTCAACAGAGAAAATACAGAAGGAAAATCTGTAAAGGTAGAAGGATAAGAAGGTATTTCCAAGAACATGCAGTCAATAACACAGTATGCTACAGAAGTGTCAAGGATATTGAACAAGAGGCCAAGGGGAGGGGGATCTCAGAAAAATCTGAAAATTCACAGAGGGAGACTTAAGATAGTGAAGGCACCAAGATATTAGTAAACAGTCAGGAGTTGATTAAGAAGTAAGAATAGTCACCTTTCGAAATGGAAAAGAAATGCAATAAAGTCAAGATAAAATATTTTAAATATGGAAACAATCTTATGTCCTAAATAGGGGAGGAAGTAAGAGGAAGAAGGAATATTATCCGTTTGTTCTTTCAACAGGTATTTTCAGATCACGCCTTGTTCAGTCACTGCTCTGAAAAGCAGTCAAGAGAAATGGCATGTCCCCCAAACCCCACTACCACCTGTAAGCCATATCTCCAACTGAAAAAAGAGAGACTGAGATTGATGTACATGAAGACACATCATGTGCCACAAAACTGAGGTTGATTTTTTTTTTTAAGAGATAGGGTCTCGCTCTGGCACCCAGGCCAGAGTACAGTGGTACAATCATAGTTCACTGCAGCCTCAACCTCCTGGGTACAGGTGATCCTCCCACCTCAGCCTCCTCAGTAGCTGAGACTACTCAGTAGCTGAGGTTCATACCACCATGCCCAGCTAATATTTTTATTTTTTCTAAGGAGCAATCTCCAACTCCCAGCATCAAGCAATCCTCCACCACCCAAAGTGCTGGGATTGCAGGCATAAGCCACTGCACCTGCCTCTATTTATTTATTTAGAGATGGAGTTTCACTCTTTTAGTGATTCTACTGCCTCAGACTCCCAAGTAGCTGGAATTACAGGCAACCACCACCATGCCCGGCTAATTTTTGTATTTTTAGTGGAGATGAGGTTTTGCCATGTTAGCCAGGCTGGTCTCAAACTCCTGACCCCCAACCACCTGCTTCAGCCTCCCATAGCTCTGGGATTACAGGTGTGAGCCACCACATCCAGCCTGCACCCAACCCTATTTAAAACTAGGTAAAATAAAGTAAGAGGGGAGAATAGAGAATAAAATGAAATATGGAACATTTTTAAAACAACTGTTGTAAAAAATAATTACAGGACATGACAATCCACAATTTTAAAAATAGAAATCTAATTGGAATTAACTAAAATAAAAGGTTATATGAGATCATACCTGTCTATAATTTTTGCAATTTTACCACTGATTATGAGGAGTAGACACAGGGGTAGGTGTAAACAGATAGGATGGTGATAATAGCTGGTTTTGAGAATTGGCAAAATCACTTGCCAAGAGGTAAAGGGAATCCAAGATGTGTATTTGGGCAGCTTTAGAATGAATGATTACGGTGAAGACCAGTAGTGGCCTCTTGTGTAGTAAGAGAATGCTGAGGGGTTTGTTTGTTTGTTTACTGGGCCAGGTAAGAAAAAAATCATATTCCAGGTATTGTTGTGGGAAAAAATGTGGTCATAAGGCTAAGTTCTGGCCAAAGAGAAGTATACAGCTTTCTATGTCACCTCTAGAAACTCTCCTTAAAATAAAGGGGATTTGTCTTCTACTTCTTCCTTTCCTCCTTCCTGCCATCTGGTTGTGGGTGGATCACGAAGTCAGGAGTTCGAGACCAGCATGACCAACATGGTGAAACCTGTCTCTACTAAAAATACAAAAATTAGCCGAGCATGGTGGTGTGCGCCTGGAATCCCAGCTACTCAGGAGGCCAAGGCAAGATAATTGCTTGAACCTGGGAGGCTGAGGTTGCAGTGAGCCAAGACTGTCCCACTGCACTCCATCCTGGGCAACAAAGTGAGACTTCCTCTCAAAAAAAAAAAAAGAATTGATAGATTAATTGAATGAAATTCTAGCAGCCACCTTGGATCATAAGAACAAGGGCATTGGAGTAAAGAAGCTGCATTGCTGACGACTTCAGGCATCTTCCTCCATTCCCACACTTCACTACCTGCCCAAAATCTTATTTTATGCAAGTGAAAAATAAAATTTTAAGCTGTTTCATAATCTTGGCCTTAATTCTGGGGAACAATCCTAGAAGCCATAGGTCCTACCATGAGTTCAGTACTGGAAATAGAGCCCCTGCCACTACTTTTAAGAATTTATTAAAAGGTTGTGAGACTGCAAATCAGTTCCCTCCCCTCCCCTCCTCCCTTCCTCCCTCCAGCGGTTCTAGGATAATCCAGAGGAATTTATAAGACATGAAAATTTCTGGACCCCATCCTACACCTTTCAAATTATATCCCTTGACATGAGGCACGGCAATCTACATTTTACAAGCAAGTTATTCTACCACAGGTGGTCCACACACTATGCTTTAAGAAATCCTGCTTTATTATCACCATACCAGTTCCCCAAACCCAGATGGTGCTTGTTTCATAGGCTAAAATCTATCATCTCAGTGGCAGCTTAATCAGGCAAGGTAATGCATTTATTATTTCAAGTAATATGTGTCAAGCCCTGAACTAGGTGGTAGGAATGAAAAAATGAAAAAAAAAAATTCTATTCTGTACAAGTCACTGTTATTTTGGGTTTCTATATTCTATGGAAAGAAACCTAATTGTAATAAATGCAGTGATCACAGTCCAGACTGTGTTAAGGAAAAGATGACCTAAAAAGAAATTTGAGATGACTCTAAAGAAAAGTAGACATGCATCAAAATGTAGGAAGAAAAACATTAGCTCATTCATTCATTCTACCTGGATGGAACATCAGTTTAAGAGATTCAGAGCCTGGTTCATGGTAAATGCTCAGTAAGATCTCAACAGCAAGGAGCTAATAATTTGGATAACCCAATGGTCCTTTTCTCTGTAACAAAGTTTACACTGCCAAAAGAGGCATTCAACAATATTGAATGTAAGTTTACACAAATGATTAAAACTGCTTTCTGTTACTGATTATTTATATATGAACCTAGTATTTTTTGGCCTCACAGAGCCATCTGATAAGGGAAGAAAGCACTATTATCCACATTACTGCTCCTCTAGACCAATACTTTCATTAAGGTAATATCCATGAATACATTTCATCTTTGAAAAGAATGAAGTAGTATAAAAGTTATAGTACAGTTAGATTTACTAATGGTGTTATTAATAAAAAAGAATTAACTATGTCGGCTTTTTCTATATATAACATTTATGGTAGGCTGTTCTGTATATAGTTATTTAGGTAATGGGATTGGATATTCTTTTCTAATTTAGTTTAGTTTTCTAATAGGATCTAACAATCTTTCCTTTTCTAATCTTATCTCCCCTGGAATCCTAAGAAGTCAGTATGGCATTTATTTTACTCTCAAAGCCCTCCTGATTACTAATCCACAGCAGGCTGCTGAAAAAAGTAAAATATAGAGCCACCATGCTTCCTAAATAGCGTATGGGAGTTTTTCAGCCAAACATTCCACCACAATATAGCTCCATATCCCTCTCAGATACTCAATTATGGGACAATGCCTCTGGCTCTAAATGCCCCCAAATTCAGAAAACTCTGGGAACCATAGGAGTAAGAAAAAATCAATGGTCTTATTTCAAGTAGTTCTCAAGCTGTCACACTGATACTGTTCCTGGGATATGCAAAACAATTTAAGAAAAAGACTAGGAAGAACTTTTCATTATGTCATGAAGATTATAAATTTTTTAAATCAGGTGTCCTAAGGCAATCTCAAAAACAAATATAGGCACAGACAGCAGGATTTCAAAGGTGATGGTAAAATAACTTTTTCATCATCTATAAAAACGTGTAATGCACTCCATTTAAAAGAACAAAGAAACATACAGACTAGCCTTAATCCTTCAACTGTTAAGTCAAAAGTCTCTGAATTGCTGTCTCCAAGGGGCTTCAATTACAGAAGATGAAAAATCCCTGATCATGGATGTATTGAAACCAAAATGGTCCAAATTGCACAAAAATCCTGAGTTAAGTACAAAAGTCCAAATTTATAACATGAAAATTAAAATGAGGTTAAATCATCAGCCTTGGACTAAAAAGGGAAGAGGTCTTTTGAAGGTAAAAAACTAAACATAACAAGTTCAGATTTTAAGAAAAGGGGAGGGGCATCCATCTGTCTTTGCTACATGTCATGTCATCCTCTCTCTTCTGTAACAACAACAAAATCCTCCCTCTTTAGAGAAATGGATGATTCCATTATTAAGGAACTATATAAGATGAGCCTGGAGCGCCAGGTAGTTCCAGAAAGAAGGAAAGAACATGATCCCCCAAACAAATAAACAAAAATACTCACACAGATGAGAATAGGTCAAAGGGGCACAACAGCCAAATGAAAGAGCCAATAAGCAAAACTGTCAACAATTTGAGCAAAAAATAAAGTAGCACTGGATTACAACCCAGAGTATAAAATAAATATCCGTAAGTCCATATGGATTAATTAATATGCAGAGGAGAAGAGACAAATCTCTCAGGCAGCAGAATTCCAAATAATTATACAATTTTCCACCCTAAAGGAGAAAGAACATAGCTATAGGCTATACACAGCAGAGTAAGGGCTGCATTTAGTAACTTCTTTCCAAAGAGGATTATGAAAAGGGGGAAAAAACCTTTATAGTAGAGAAATATAATAAAATCTATGCTTCAGGATAGTGATCAAAATCAGCATCAATAGTCATAAATCATGTTTATAGTATGTACCTTTAATATTATATTATAAAAATGGCACTCTGTTTCCAGGCTTTCTCCCCCAAGTCTACAACCCTAGTCTAATCAGGAAAAAATCATAAGATAAATTCCAACAGAGGCACATCCTACAATACACCTTACCGATACCACTCAAAACTGCCAAGGTCAGCAAAAACAAAGAAAGTCTGAGAAACTGCCACAATCAGAGGAGCCAGGGGAATCTGACAACTAAACGTAATGTGGAATCCTGGAGGGGATGCCCAGATAGTAAAACGACATTGGGCGAAAACTACAGAACTCTAAATAAACTATGGAATAATTAACTAATAACAATGTATCAGTATTGGTCCATTAATTACAACAAATGTACCATATTAATATTCCATGTTAATATAGGAGAAACTGCTTGTGGAGCTTATATAACAACTCTATCTTCTCAACTTTTTCTGTAAATCTAAAGTTATGTTTTTCAATGTTTTTTTTTTTTTTTAAAGCTCTGAGGCAAAAAACAGAACTGAAAACTATTCCATCAAGTATTCATTCAGTGATTACTCCATGGGACAAAATTGTGAGCCCTTATGACAAAAGCCCAAAAGCATGCTTGGACTTCATGGGGAAGCGGGGGACCACTATGGGCAAAAATACTTCTATTCCATCTTTGGAAAACTAAATTGCATCCAGATTTTCTTTTAATTAAGAAAGTAAAACAATAACAGAAGAGAAAATCTCAAGAAAACCAATTTCTTTTTATTTCCAACTCTGGGAATGAAAACTATTTGAATTATATGCGATAGACCACAATCACATCTCTGAATCAATGATCTTGAAAATGCAGTCATGCAACTCAGGAGTGAAGGGTTGATGTATTTTTTAATTAAAAAGAAATTAAGATGATATTTAATATGCAGACAAGCACAAAGGCCTCACTTGTCCTTATAGTAGATGGTTATAGGTTATTTGCTATGAGTGAAATCTGCTAAGGAAATGCGAGAACTCCACAACACAGGGTGTCAGCAGCACCTCACCCTCTTCTCCAGTATATTAGGATAACTTGTAGTTTACCTGTGCCCAACAAAGTAAAACTACAGATTATTTAGTTTTACATAAAGTCATCATCATATAACAGGTGACTTAAAAATACTCTTTAATGCATATTGAAGATAATATGCAAAAACCAGTTGTCTGGCCTTCAAATTGCCAAATTGTGTTTCCATCATGATAGCTTAAGAAAAATCAAACGAAACTGGAGATGGTTCACAATGTGCAACTACACAACTCTGTCTCTACTTTATTTCTGTCTCCCTCCTTTCTCCCCACGGCCCCCATCCCTGATCATTCAAGAAGAAAGATTTAAGGTGTAAGCAGTGATCGACCCTGTTATGTTGCTGAGATGTGTTAGGCAAGAAGAGAACTGAGAATTAGTCATTGAATTTTACAGAAGGGGTCACTGGTGACCCTGACGAGCATTATTTCTGGGATGTGGTAGGATAAACACCTCACTGAAGTAAATTTTGCTGGAGACTGAAACAGAACTATGGGGTGGAAGCTGAAGATGAAGTAGGATAGGGTGATTATACATTTTATTGTCCAAGCCAGGATGGTTTGCAAATGGAAGGGGACACAGTTTATTTTTATTCATTTATTTATTTTCTAGATGAAGTCTTGCTCTGATGCCCAGGTTGGAGTGTGTGATCTCGGCTCACTACAACCTCTGCCTCTCAGGTTCAAGCAATTCTCTGCCTTAGCCTCCCGAGTAGCTGGGATTACAGACACCTGCCACTGTGCCCAGCTACTTTCTTTTTGTATTTTTCATAGAGTTGGAGTTTGACCATCTTGGCCAGGGTGATCTTGAACTCCTGACCTAATGATCCACCTGCCTTGGCCTCCCAAAGTGTTGGGATTATAGCATGAGCTGCTGTGCCTGGCCAGGGGGATACAGTTTATGATTATGCTGGTGCAACTAGCATATACCATATGGTCACTCTTGGGAGAGGGCAAAAAAGATTTCTCAAGGAAGTACCTGTTTATTTCTACTTTTTGTTTACTTTCTCTGAAGCAATTTCTTATATGTGACTTGCCAATTTTTTTTAGTCCATTGGTGATTCAATTATTTTAATGGACTTTGGTATGGAATATTTGTTCAGAGCCTTTTAATAGTTCTGCTGTGTCCACATGCAATTTATTTCCTCAAAGAACAAATTGACTTGACAGTGATTTCCCTATGCACACTTGAAAAAAATCCTGTGCTTAAATATAGAAGTTTGTGCAGTATGAATACAAAACTCAGACTCTAGAGTTTTCATTGTTTAATTGAAATACTTTTTTGGTATGAGATATTCATAATAATAGTCTTTGGTCCTTTGGCAAAATAAATATTATGACTGGCATGTGTTTTGGCTAATATTGATTTTATCTGAGTTTCAGTATTTTTTTTTAAACAGAGCATATAAACCCTTGATAATTCACCATTAATAATTTTTTCTATTGTAAATTGTGTTTTATTGTAATGTAATTTCATTTACAATACTGGGTTTCAGTTTTTTTCTAAAAAATCTCATATCAATTTTCAAAAGGAATTCATTTATGTTTATGAAAATCTACAAATAATTTATTTTTTTTGCTATTTAAATTTGAAACTTTCAGAGAACAGCAATGAAAAAAAGTGAGATACAGATGGAATTAACAGTATATTAAAGTAACATTGCTAATTATAAGGGCTTTACACTATCATTAGCTAATAGTATAAGACACCACACCAGTGGTTCTCAACTTTGGTGACCTGTTAGACTCTTACGGTGCTTGTAAAAAATCATGATGCATAGGCCCTATTATAGGCATGTTGAATAAGGATCTCTTGGGGGAGGGGTTGGCTTTCTTTCTTTCTTTTCCTTCCTCTCTCTTTCTCTCTCTCTCTCTCTCTTTCTTTTGAGAGGGTGTCACTCTGTAGCTCAGGCTGGGATGCAGTGGCATGATCATAGCTCGCTGTAACCTTGGCATGTTGAATAATGACCTCTTGGGGAAGGGGCTTTATTTGTTTGTTTGGAGAGAGGGTGTCACTCTGTAGCTCAGGCTGGGATGCAGTGGCATGATCATAGCTCGCTGTAACCCTGGCATGTTGAATAATGACCTCTTGGGGAAGGGGCTTTATTTGTTTGTTTGGAGAGAGGGTGTCACTCTGTAGCTCAGGCTGGGATGCAGTAGCATGATCATAGCTCACTGTAACCTTGAACTCCTGGGCTCAAGCAGTCCTCCCACGCCAGCCTCCAGAGTAGCTAGGACTATAGACACATGCCACTGTGCCCAGCTAATTTTTTAAACACTTTTTTTCTGTAGAGACAGGGTCTTGTTGTGTTACCCAGGCTGGCCCTCAACTCCTGTCCTCAAGCAATCCTTTTACCTTGGCCACCCGCATTGCTGGGATTATAATCACTCTGCTGGCTGGCACTAAAAAAAAAAAAAGAAAACTCTGTGACTTACAGAGAGACTGAGATCTACTGCTCTATATACTTACGGATAAATTTATCATTTATTATAATTGATGTAAATCCAAAGTTCAAATGTGTTTGTAATTTCCCTTCCTCCCTCCATCCCTTTCTTTCTTCAGAGCTTAGTTCTTGTCAGAGCTAGTTAGAGTCTATTTCAAACTTGTTAAGACTAGCTAGTTCTAGGAGGTAGAAGTGATCAGTTCAGCATTTACTTGTATGCTTTTGCATGCTTGTGCAGAATTTGGCTTCTCTTTCTCTCCCTACTTTATCTCCTATCTCCCCCCTTCCTCCTCCACCACCCCCATCCCAGCTACAGATACACTACCCTCCTTGCTGCTCCTAAAACATACCAAGCACAATGCCACCTTTTACACTTTACTGTATATAGCCACATATTCAGTGAATGCCTTACTTTCCCTTTCACACTAATTCCTCGGCTCTGTGCTCAAATATTAGTCATCATAGGACTTTCCTGAGCAATCTATGTAAGATAGAAACACCTCATACTCCACACTAGCACTCACTCTTAACCTGATTTGTTTTTGTATAATAAATTTATCACCAGTTTGTTTATTCAATCTTTTTCTAATGTATGTCTCCCAATACTAGTATATAACTTCCTGGATCCATGACCTGAAACATACACAGGAAGCACTCAGTAAGTATCTGCTAAGTGGTTCTTCCAGCAATGACTTTATGTCCATTTACAATAAATCAACGCCACATACTTTCTCTAATAAGCAAGTGACTCTTCCCCAATTTGTCCAGGTGCCTTTCCCTTGGTTGCTTGCCCAAAAGTATTCTTTGCAGAATGAAATTATTCCCTCCTAAAACTCAATGGCCCTTTCTAGGTCTGAAGCCTTGAGTACTATACTTAAATAAATATGATACAAAACGTTCCACAAAGAGTACTAGAAAGGACAACGGCAACACCTACAAATATCAATTGTCTTGCCTTCAAATCACTAAATCGTGTTTTGATCACAATAGCTCAAGCACAATCTAGTGAATACACAACTACACAATTTAAAAGTTTATGAATATTTTATTTGAGAAGATAGATTAAGTATTTTTGAGGTAAATAGATGTTTAGGCTTACTACCTACTTAGGGACGAAAGAAATCCCTGTAATATGCCTGGAGCTCTACAGATCTGAGCATGTATCTAGTTATTGTCATTCAACCTTTCAAGTTGAAAGTGTAAACAGATTCTGAATGGTTAAAATCAGTTTCCATCTAAAAGCATTACTTCCCATGATGCAACTGCAATGTGTGTGTCAAAGTTTACTAAACCTAATATTATAAAATCTATCCCACTATAAACCAAATGCCCCAATAAATTCTCACAAGAATCTATATATGTTAGAAATGCATGAGAAAAAGAACACTTTGTATTTACAACTAGCAAGCTTTTGCTCTGTAGGAAATGGGGGGAAGTACAAGTGAAACCTGACAAAGTTCTGAGTCTTTCTTGACATAAAAGTAGAAGGCTCTAGCAAGAAATGTTTTCTTTCTCTACCCTTGCAAAGGTTAGCCATGTTCTTGTTACCAATAAACACATTCTCACTATAACCCGAATGAATGAAGCTGAGTTCTTTATTTTGGCACACTGACATCTCTGGATTGCTAGCAGAGTTCAAAGCTGCTTCATCAACTGTCCCTTGCCCTGCAGACATGGGGCACAATAAACTGTGTTTCCTGTCAATCAGGAAAATCAATCACTGCCCAGTAAACTGTAGATGTAATGCCATAACCCTAAGGGTTCATCATAAAGTACTAAAAATTATAGTCCATCACATCAGTTTTGACATGTTGACAGCTGGGTCCACAATAGTCTTCACACTTGAAAAGTCAGTTCAAAACACTTCCTGAAGGCAGACTATAAGTTTGGAATGTGCTTCTAAAACAGAAAGCCTAACTTTTATCCTTAGGCTACTCCTGCAACCTCAAACCATGTTGACCCATATCATAAAGCACAGACTCTCTTCATGGCCAACAGCAGAAGGAAGGCCAAAGGGGTTCAACATGGTAGTCAATGCTCCCTTTTAAAACCCTTTCTATTTGGGTTTGGTCAGGTTTGATGAGAATTATTTTGGGGATAGGTGGTCTTTAAAGCTTTGTGGGCTTCACATGTAATAACTATTAGTCCGTTCCCACACTGCCATGAAGAAATATCTGACAGTAGGTAATTTATAAAGGAAATAATTTTCATTGATTCACAGTTCTGCATGGCTGGGGAAGCCTCAGGACACTTAGAATCATGGCAGAAGGCAACTCTTTACAAGGTAGCAGGAGAGAATGAGTGCCAGCAGGGGAAATGCCAGACACTTATAAAACCATTAGATCTTGTGAGAACTCACTCACTATCACAAGAACAGCATGAGGGAACCAGCCTCATGATTCAGTCACCTCCCAGCAGGTCTCTCCCTGGCATGTGGGAATTATGGGGTTACAATTCAAGATGAGAGTTAGTTGGGGACACAGAGCCAAATCATATCAATAATACTAAGAATAAATAATTACAGTATATAGATCTTTTCTTTCTTTTTTAAATATTCATTAAGAGGACTTTGACTCAAGAGTTATATCAATACATAATTAAAATAAATTATAATATATAATCCCTACAAACCTGAGCATATATAAAATACATATATATACTCATTTTGTCAGCACATATACTACAAAATAAGTATAAATTAAAGCTAAATTAGACATATTTAAACAACAATCGGATGTTCCCTGAGACCTATAGTTTGAGAGGAAAAAACAACTGATAATTATTTGGAATTACAAAGTTTAAAAAGCACTTCAATAACCTCTGTTAGATGATATATATCACATAACACACTATGTCATCAATGTACTTCTGAAAAGAAGTCATTTTATTCACTCAGTTTTAAAAAAATAAAATGTAAAGGTTTAAATGAAAAGACTTGTGTTTCACGAATGACTTCTGATTACACAGACACAATCACCACATCAAGAGTTAAATTCATACTGAAGGAAATCTTACTAAACCCAAAGTAGGCAAACCTTTTCATCTCGTGGGCAATCGGGGCTTTGAGAGAAATTAAGAGCAAATTCTTATCAATAGGAAAAGCTTTGACACCAACTGCTGACTGTACTAGGCCACAAATAAGTACTCTGGCAAATAATAACACCTCAGTGTCCCTTAAACAGATCCAGGTCCAGGTGAAGTAAACAGAACAGGTCAGGTTTTTCTACAATTGCTTTTCTTTTTCATAGAAATTACACACACACACACACACACACACACACACACACACATATTGAGAGAGAGAGAGAGAGAGAGAGAGAGAGAGAGAGAGAGAGAGAGAGAGAGAAAGAAAAAGAGTCTCACTCTGTCATCAGGGTTAGAGTATAGTAGCATGATCTTGGTTCACTGCAGCCTCCACCTCCAAGTTTCAAGCAGTTCTCCTACCTCAGCCTTCCAAGTAACTGGAATTACAAGTATGCCCCAACGTATCCAGCTAATTTTTGTATTTTTAGTAGAGATGGGGTTTTGCCATGTTGGCCAAGCTAGTCTCAAACTCCCGATCTTAAGTGATCCACCCACCTCAGCCTCCTAAAGTGGTGCTGCGATTACAGGAGCGAGCCACCACATCCAGCCTATGTAATTGTGTATATGTGTGTATATATATATACACACATATACATACACACACAAAATAGTTTACTAAGAAAGAATATTCAAAGGTTTTGTTTTTAACAGAGAATGAAAAGAACACAAAAGCCCACAGCTGGGCTATGTCCCACATAGTGAAATAGCTATATATCACCCAAGATGGAACATCCTCCAAGAGAAAAATAAGTAGTAAATCAGGGTTCAAATAACAGATGTTACATAACCATTTGTGTAAAAAGAATCTTAATATATATGTGTGTGTGTGTATATATATATTGTTTGAATATCCATCAAAGGGGAAAAAGCGCACAATAGTGAAAAGAAGCATTACTTTGCATCTCTTACTCTTGTATCTTATTAATTTTGTACTTTTTGTTTTTTTAGAGAGACAAGGTCTCACTCTGTTACCCAGGCAAGAGGGCAGTGGTGCAATCATGGCTCATAGTAGCCTCAAACTCCTGGACTCAAGTGATCCTCCTGCCTGCCTCTGTCTGACAAGTACCTGGGACTACAGGAACACAGCACCACAGCCAGTTAGTTTTTTGATGTTGTTTTTTTCTGTAGAAATGAGGTCTCTCTACGTCAGAGTCCCCAGCTCCCCAGCCACATACCAGGACTGGTTCATGGTCTGTTAGGAACTGGGCTGCACAGCAGGAGGTGAGCAGTAGGCAAGCAAGTATTACTACCTGAGCTCGGCCTCCTGTCAGATCATCGGTGGAATTAGATTCTCACAGGAGCATGGACACTACTGTGATCTGCACGTAAGGGACCTAGGTTGTGTGCTCCTTATAAGAATCTAATGCTTGTTGATGCAAACTAGAACAGTTTCATCCCAAAACCATCTCCCACCAACTCCACCCCTGGTCCATGGAAAAACTGTCTTCCATGAAACTGGTCCCTGGTACCAAAAAGGTTGGGGACCACTGCTCTATATTGTCCAGGATGGTCTTGAACCCCTGGCTTCAAGCCATCCTCCTGCCTCTGCCTCCTGCAGTGCTAGGATTATAGGTATGAGCCACTGTGTCCAACCTCTTTGACTGTATTATTTTAAAATATATATATAAAATAAAATATATATTTATATATTTTATTATAAATACATAAAATATATATATTACAGGTATGAGCAACTGTACCCAACCTCTTTGACTGTATTATGTAAAATATATACATAATAAAATAATTATATAATATAATATATAATATTTATTATATAATAAAATATATATTTTATATTTTATTATATATTTTGTTTTTTATATAAAATATATATTTTATACAATAAATATAAAATATATATTATTATATATA